AGTGAGACAAAGGCTGGAAGACAAATCTCAGGCTCACAGAGTTACCCAAGAGGAGAGTCACAGTGGAGGCAAGTGTCTGGTGAGAAGCAGCCATAGGACTGCACTGCAGCAGAGCCCAGATTAAAGAAGAATGGGGGAGGGGGCAAAAAAGGAGAAGTAACATCAGAGTCTGACTGCTCCTTTCAAAATGTTGTATAGTACACCAAAATGACCATGAAATCCAGAAAAGACAAAATTTCTAAGTATACTCCAAGACATAGTCTAAGCAAGGAACCATCCCAATCATAACTCCTTTCAAAATGTTGTATAGTACACCAAAATGACCATGAATTCCAGAAAAGACAAAATTACTAAGTATACTCCAAGACATAGTCTAAGCAAGGAACCATCCCAATCATAAGTGCGTTAGTGAGCACAGAACTGGAAACCCTGAGGATTCCTTCATTTTGTTTTCTTAAAGCCCCCAGAACTGCACTCTACCCTCACCTTGAATATACCACATGTAATATGGTGTTCTTTTCCTCCTGACATAACATGATGCCATCTCAGAATAGAGATTAACTTGGCCTGTGCCATAGTTAGGTTTCTAGTGTGGTAATAAAACACTATGACCAAAGCAATTTGGAGAGGAAAAGGTTTATTTCATCGTACAATTCTTAGATTACCCTCCTCCACCACTAGGGAAGTGAGGGGAGGAACTAACAGAAGCAGAGGCCATGGAGGACGGTGGCTTACTGGCTTGCTCAGTTCACTTTCTTATATACCCCAGGACCACTTAACCAGAAAGCACTATCCATAATTGACTGGGTCCTACCATATCAATCACCAACCAAGAAAACACCCCACAGGCTTGCCTACTACGGATGATCTTATGGAAGCATTTTCTCACTTGACCTTGTGTCAAGTTGACATAAAACTGGCCAGCAGTTGTCATAGCTTCAGCAGTCAATCTGACATAAACCTAGTCACCCAGGAAAAGGGGAACCACAACAAGTAACTTCCGAGATCAGATGGCCCATGGCTATGTCTTCAAGGCAATTTCGTAATTACTGATTGATGTAGGAAGACCAATCTCACTGTGAGCAATGTCATCCCTAGGCAGATGAGACTGGGCTATAGCAGAAAGGTAGCTGAGCAAGTCAACAGCAGTGTTCCTCTTAGTTTCTGCTTCAGGCTCCTATCTTGAATTCCAGCCTTGGCTTTCTTCAATGAGACTATAACTTATTCTTTTCCATGTTTCCTTTCCTCTCCATGTTGTAGTCATGGTGTTTATCACAGCAGCAGAAAGCTAACTAAAACAGTAGCTGTGGCTACTAATAAACAGAACAATATAGTGACAGCCAGTTCTATAACAATGAAACTATGGACATTCCCAAGCACTTAGAGGAAAAAAGGTCTCAGGACCCAGACCTGGGAGTGTAGACATTACCTCCCCCAACCCCCTCAGCCCCCCCCATACACACACACACACACACACACACACACACACACACACACACACAGAGCTGCAAATGATCTCAGAACATGCTAGACAATACAGGAAGTGAAATGCTAACTGAAAGGGGACCCTATGATGCAGCTTCCATGTGGGTCACTATCCATGATGGGGTGGTGGGGTTTATAGTGATGTAGCTGTATGGGCATTACCCATGCTCCTGTAAATAACCTATTGTACATCAACTATAATCACGCTTAGTAAGTCCATAGGTTTGGTCTGTTGCTGGTGCTCTACCTGGGGTGAACAAACATATGTTCACATCTCCCAGGAAAAGTTAATACTCTGCTCTGCTTCTCCTACAGTAAGCCAACATGGAGCATCTGCCAACTTCCATCCCTCAGCTTGTTGCTCAGCACAGCCCACACCCCAAGCTCACTACCCCTCAGCATGTCAGCTTGTATCTAACAAGGAAGGTTCTCATACAGGAGGCCTGGAGAACGAAGCCAGCTGGGCTGATAAACAATCTCCAGGTAAAGGGAGGGAGGAGGATTGCTTGCTTCTTGACCGTGTCTGACACTTTTCCCAATTGTAAATGACATATCAATATATGAAGCAATCCCCTTCAGTTCAGTGGAAAACACATACAAGTCTACCAAAAGATACACACAGGGGGATGGCCCTGAATTATCCATCTTCTGAGGTGAGGAAATCGAAAGAAATAAAAATGGGTTGTGCCAAACACAGAGGGAACAGAAATAACAGAGCTTACACAGAGAACTGGATCTAAAAATGGGTTGTACCAAACACAGAGGGAACAGAAATAACAGAGCTTACACAGAGAACTGGATCCAAGTGTGTTTAAGACATTTTTGTTCCTTCTCCCATATAAGCCTTATTTTCTGACCTCAGCACTAGCTCTTTATTTCTTCTTTCTGCTCCAGTTAACCTAACTGACACTCAATTCACATTCTCTCAAATGTTCTTTAGCTCTGAATCTACCTCAAAGCTTTCCCACCACGCAGCTGCTTTAACCTCCAGCCTCGCCTCCTATTATTCTTCATTGGCTCTTCAATCTCTTCCCAACAGGTCTGGTGCACTCATCGTGTTTTTCTTCTTGTTCTGCATGCAATGGCCCCTCCACCCTGACAATTCTTCAGCTTGGGTCCTATGATCTCCTGCTCCACTGTCTGCTCCCAAGAATGGCTCACCTCACTGATACCTCTGGGCATTCCAGTTTTTACACACCCTGACCCTCTTTGAGAAAAGCTTTTTTCAGATCAAACATCTGCTTATCATACACATACAGTACTCCACATAGACCCTTGCATCTTTTAGCCCCCATTAAACTGGAAAGCTAATTTTTTTTAAAGTCAACTTTTCCATCAGATGCCTCCACTTATCCAGCAGTACCATCTCAGGGATATACTAACAGGAAGAACTACCCAACATCAAAGAGTATGTTCAAGAATGTGCCAGCTGAGCTGGTTACATAACTATTATCACAGTCCCAGAAAGGCTGAGGCAGGAGGACTACCACAAATTCAAAGCCATTTTGAACTATATAGAAAAATCTTATCTAAAAAAAAGAAAGAAAGATGTGGATGGGATGGTAGTACACAACTATAATACCAACACTTAGAAGGTAGGGGCAGGAAAATCAAGAGCTCAAGGTCATCCTTAGCTCCATAGCAAGTTCAAGGCCAGCCTAGGCTACATGAGGCCCTATCTACTAACAAAACAAAAAGACTGTTTGATCAAGGATTCATAGTTTCTCCCAAACCAGAAAGAGCCAAATCAGCAGAATGGATTTTCATTTACTAGAATACAATTAATAGGAATAGTCTTTAAAGAAACTTGCATGTGCAGGGATCTCTGGTGTGCTAGAATATACTTTGTTTTGTTTTGTTTTGTTTTGTTTAGTTTTTGGCCATACATTTCTTAACTTGGGTGGCAGCTCTAACAGCTGTGTCCACTTGGGAACAATTCATCAAACTGTACATGCATGGTTAATGTGCTTTTTTTTCTACATGGCCCCTACAGGATAATACATTTGAATATGTTTTCTAGTTGGGAAACTATTTAGGAAGGATTAGGGGGAGTGGCCTTGTTGGAGAAGGTGTGTCACTGGGGGCAGACTTCAAGGTTTCAAAAGCTCAAGCCAGGCCTGAAAAATTCAGGCCTTAGGATGCTGGCCTGCCTGGTTACCTGGCAGAATCCACTCAGGCAGTACCCTGGTCAGCCCAGGGATCCATGAGAAGTAAGTCTGTATGCAGGTACAAAAGACCCCTTTAAAAGACAGACCTCCGCCCACCCACACTCTCTCTTACCTTCCTCTCTCTCTCCTACCCTCTTGCTCTTACTGCCCATTTCTCTTACTCTCTCTCCTCTTGTTCTGTTCTCATCTCTCCCCCTCCCCCACCTTTAATAAAATATGGTTAATGTACTCTACGGTTTGTGTTCCATCGCGCCAGTTCCATCTCGTGGTTCTTTTCTAATTTTTAAACTTTTACAAAATGACAAGAAGGCCCACTTCTGCCCTCTTTCTGTCTAAAACTTGTGAAACATATGCCAGCTCTCAGCTACTTCTCCAGCACCATGCCTACCCACCTACCACCATGCCATGAATTAACCTTTTGAAACTGTAAGCAAGCCCCCAATTAAACACTTTCTTTAAAAACTGTCTTGGTCATGGTGTCTCCTCACAGCAACAGTACAGTAACTAAGACATATGCCATACTTGAATGAAAAGTCTATTGTAAAAGCACACTAATGGGCAAAAGGAGAGCCTATTAGTGTTAAAAGCAGACTGCAATGATGGTCACACAACACTCAATTCACTGAGCTCTCCAGTTAGTGAGAGGATTCCATGGTGTAAAAAACTACACCTTAACAAAGCTTTTTAGAATCCTGTGTGTTGTAGGGTGTGTGTGTGTGTGTGTGTGTGTGTATTTACACAGCAGTGGGTAACTGGGATAACAAACTCAGTAAAGACAGTCCTAAGGAGGCTGAGGCAGAAGGATTACCACAAACATAAGGCCATCTTGGGCTATGTAGAAGGTTATGTATCTAGCTCCTAAAATCCAGAAGGAACTCAAAGAACCCTTGTTCCTTTGGAGACAAAAGTGGATATCACCCAAACTTAACTAGTGAGTGCTTTGCTGTATAGTCTTCTGGAGAGCTCGACAGACAGCTGTGTAACAGAAAAAAAGAGCTTTATGTATTTAGGAAGACACACTCACACGCACATACACTCACAAATATCCCACAACCACAACAATTAATTGGGGGGGGGGGTGTCCCAGAATTTGAAAGAGAACAAGGAAGGGTCTGGAGGAAGGAAAGGGGAAAAATGATGTGATTATATTATAATCTCAAAAAACCAAAAGAAATAATATTTTTAAAGGCCCTAACTTCAGACTTTCCCTCTAGCCCACTTGTCTAGCACAAGAAAAGTAAAAATGGGACTGTGGAATCCAATCCTGGCTCCAAACAGAACTGTACATCCCTGAGCACCTTGCTCTCTGTGCTCCAGTCTCTGTATCTATAAAATGGAGGTTATATGCACACATGGTAAGAGCTACAACCCTGGACTCTTAGAAAGACTGAACGCATTAATCGTCCTATAGTAAAGACTACTGGAAATGCTTGGGGTGGGGTGGGGGGCTCTTTTTCCTAGAAATAAGAAGGAAGCCCTGTCTAGGAAAGGAAGACCAGTCTGGGCCTTTACCTGATGAAATGTGTACTTGAAGAGAAGGGTCAGGAACTCCACCACAGGGAACTGGGAGTAGGACTCGATTCGTCTTAGGTGAACACTCACAAAGAGCCGCAGAAAGTCAGTAAACTTCTCAATGTAGCTACATGAGACAAGAGGACAAAAGGTGACATAAGAAATATAGCCACTTTCTCAGAAGAAAACTTCAATTCAATCAAACTCTTTCTCAGTTCAGAACTATACAAACACATTTCCAGTTAAAAACACAAAGGCCTGCAACAATGACCTAGGAGACAAGCAATCCTTCACTCTGTATTACCTGAAACACAGCAGAAAAGCAGCTCTAATCCTCAGAAACCCTCTGCCCCTGCCTGCTATAAACTCAAGTTCACCTATGTTCTAACACATTAGTGTCAGGACCCAATTAAAGGAAAGGGGTTGCTGTTAAAAGGTACTGGAGAGATGACAATGTCTTCAAATCTGCCAAATTTAGAAAGGCAGATCTTTGCTGGGAATGACATTAAGTTGAAATGGACTATCTAGAAGGGACACAGTCCAATTTGTCCTCCCCTCTGACATGTAGTACTTAAGGACTGCACATCTACTCCACCCTAAAATCGACTTTCAAATATAAGGGACGAAGACTGTAAGAGCTAGACAAGCCTCTATAGATGAGACTCCAGGAGGTAGAGTGACCCACAAGATCATTCAGTTACCTCCCAGCAGAGGGCACTATCACTCCTAGTGCAATGCCCTTTCTATGTGCTGTGCAGGAACTCCCCAGTTGACCCACAATCCCCAAGACACTTCACAGCAGAGCAAATCAGCCACAGTCACAAGGGGGAAAGGATTCTGCTATTAAACACATTCCGTTATCACTTTCACTATCAATTTCAGAAACTGGCATTTTAAGCGCCTCAATACCAAAAAGTGAATAGAAATCAAGATGGATATGCCTTTATAAATCCCATTTCAGAGACCAACAAAAACAGCTAGACATACTATGTTCTGGCTGAATGCTAAAAGCAATTCTGAAATCATTAACTGCAATAAGGAGAGATACACGACATAATAAAAAGGAAAAAGACAGCCACCCTCTTCAGAAGAACCAAGCTGGCCCAGAAATTCAGTGTCTCCTGCTGTTCCTGAGACCTGCTCCCTCAGTGAGACCAATGCCTGCCTGGCCTCTAGATGGCTGGCTCAGACAGTAAGACTGTCAATTGATTGGGTTTGTTGTTGTTGTTGTTGTTGTTTGTTTTGTTGTATTATGTTGTATTTTTTGAGACAAGATCCTGCTACGAAGCTCTAGGTCCTGGAACTTACTATGTAGGCCAAGCTGGCCTCAACCTTTCGGTGATCCTCACGCCTGACTCCTCCTTCTTCCTCCCCAGGGCTGGGGGTTTCAAATGTGAGCCACAAGCCCAGGACTAACCGGTTGTTCTGAGAAAGCAAAGTACAAAGCACCTTCTCTCTGCCATCTCCAGGGACTACTTGGGGACACCTACTCAACATATGTACTGCTCCATGGTTTTTACATGGGTCTTCAGACACAACAGCCAGCCAGCTTATTGATTACCCATTAAAGAAAAGTATCCAGCAATCTCGAGTCTATTTTACTCTTCATCCCACACTGAAAAAAGCAAGCTAGGTATGGGGACTCATGCTGTTAATCCTAGAAACCCAGTAAAGCTAGGTTAGGAAGGATGCCACAAGTTCAAGCCTAGGCAGGCTGAGCTACACAGCAAATTCCAGGCCAACCAGAGTACTGAGACCTTGTCCAAAAAGAGGGGGAGGGGGGTTACCACCCAAAGAAGAACAAAGCTTACTGTACAGCTAGAGATGTGCCTGCACCTCATTTTTCCCCCTTGCCCACCTTCCTGGTACAGATGCTAATGAACAGTAAACAGTTAGAAAGGGTGTGAAGGAAGAGAAGCCAAGGACCTGGTTAAGCAGTTCCTAAACAACTGACATGAACTAAGTGGCTTATAATTAGTCGGGGTCAGGCGCTAGGAAGCAAGCACACACTGTTCTTTCACCTTTTTGCTTCCTCTGAGGCACCTCTCAGTTTTCACTTCGGATCCAGGACAAGTCAAAACAACACAGTTGATATAAGAAGTTATATACATTTTATTAACATATGAAGATAAGATGGCCTTTCTTTATCAATGCTAGAAAGGATATGAAATTGTGTGAATTGTGAGACATTTAAATTCAAATAGGAAGGTACAACTACATAATGAGGGGAAAATACTACCTGGGGTAGAGAGATGGCTCAGATAAAGGCACTTACTGCCAAAACTAAAGATCCAAGTGCAATCCCAGGGACTCACATAGTAGAAAAGAAAACCAATTCCAGCAATTCTGACCTTTACACACAACATGGCATGTGCCCCCACCCAACCACAAAATAAATAAATGTAACAAACAAAATTTTTATTAAGAAAAGATCCTATTAGATTATGAGTACTTTTGTGACTATAAAAGGCAAATGTCACACAAAGCTTATTTACAATGAACCAAACCAAACTAACCTTCACTCAATTTCTAACCAGAAAAACTTCAAGCTCCACACTTCAAAAGAGCAGTAGAACTATCCTGACTTGCGGCAGCTGACTCCATAGCCTACCACACTTACTGTGAACAAAGCCAAGAGCTAAGCTCTCATCTCACTTTGCACTAGGAAGTCTACAACTATTTTCTAATATAATGCACTGCATCTGCTTTGAAGCTTCAACAGCCCAATGACTGCCAGAACTACAAGCTGCCAGTTGCCTTTCACCTTTATATAGCAGTAGTAGGGTTGTGTTTAGCAAAGAAGGCCGAGGTTGTGGTCAGTGGCAGGATGACCTGCCTGCCAGGCACAAGGTCCTGGGTCCCACCCTAGCACCACTGGGGATAGAGGGGAGAAGCAGAAAGCCCTAAGATAAACAGATAATGTCACCTGCAAAGGTAATAAAGAAACCTTGACTTGGCCTACTTCACCAAGGTCATCTTCTGTACTCAAGAAAAATGGGCCTGGGGAATTTTAGGTCAAGAGGGCAGAAGCCAAGCAATGCAAGTATGTGCCACTAAATCATACCTACCCGAACATATCTCTTATCTTGGATCAACTGCTATCATTTATGTGACACTCACAATACTAACATTTATGTGTCACTCATAATACTAATAGCATTCCTATACTCTGCAAGATGTCCACTCAGGAAAAGTTCAATAGTGAAAACCAACAAGCAGTACCAAGTGAGAAGGGTGATGTAACCCTGTACCTCTGCAGACCGCTTCTGTTCTCGACTATGAAGTAGCCGCACTCTCACTTCCTGCACACATGAGACCTGCAGGCAGACAGTGAGGAAGAGGGACAGGAGCATGGACAGGAGGACAGGAGGTGGGTGGATGGGGAAAAGAGACAACAGGCCTACACAATACACTAGTACTTATTACACTCAGTTCATTTCCCTTAACCACCCAAGCCCTTCTAGGTCAGCCTCACCATTTTAGAACACCTACCTTTCTATCTTTATCAGTAGCCCCACACTCTGAAATCAAAGGGGGGTTACAAACACCAAATGACATGGTGTGACAAACAGCCAGGCCCTTTCTCGGGGCACGACTCCCGCCTGTTCTCATTACCTCTCATCGAGCTCCTCTAGCCTGCTCTTCACCGTGTGGGCATTGTTATCCTTGGTGATTTTTTGCAGGAGGTAGAAGGTTTGCTGGAACATTCGTAATAAGTACTCCTCAAATTCCATAGGCACACAGTTCTTGGACATGAGTTCATTGATGCAGGACATGGCCAAGACCCCAAGTCGGCCACGCTCCTGACCCAAAACACAGTTCTGGCTGCTGCCATTCACTGATGCCATCTTTCTGGCCCGGGTATCACAGCCAAATCGAGCAAAGTGGAAGATAGTGGTGAGGAGGGATGGGGTGATGCTGGCAGACAGAGGAATCCAACTGAAGAGGTGGGCCAGGCACTCCAAGGCCAGGGAACAGACATACTCACTCTCCACATCCAGCACAGGGATAGGCTGGGGCAGCAGTTTGGCTGAACTAGGACTCTGCAACAGGTTACTCAGTAAATCACCTGGAAATTCAAAACATGCTTTACCATACCCAGTACCAAACTTCTTGAAAACACTGCAATGAATTCTCCTTTCCCCCAAACACTTTCATCACTATAAAAGTGATACCTAAAACCAATGTGCTCTATATTCAATACCAACTACAGATAATACCAAATGCCAAATATAAAATATATATATATATATATATTGAAATGCTCAAGTGAGTTACAAACTTAAACCAAAGACAAAGCTTCATAATTATGAAAAACAACAAAAAACGAGAATCTGGCCATGATGAGAGGAAGATTTATTGATACAATCAAATCACAAACCTTGACAAAAATACTGATGAGTTTAGCAACACATTACCAAATAAGAGTTTCTCACTGATGAAAAGGATTGTAACCAGAAAAATAGTGGAGTATAAGAAGCCACAATTCCTAACACTGAAATTTCAAACCTGAAAAAGAACTGTTGCCTACCACTGGAAGCATCCAGATATACAAACAGGTGGTAGGTATGAAAAAGCGATTTTCTAAAGAAATGCAAAAGATCAGCTGGCTTATCAGGCTATGTCAAGCTGAGTCATTAGAAATGCAATCTAACAGGGGACCACGGGGGAAAAAAAAAAAAAAGGGCTATTGGCAAATATCACACAGGGCAAGAGAAGCTGCAGGAATGCTCACATAGCTCTGCTAGTCTCTGCCATTCTGGAACCCTGTTACCACTCCTTCTGTCAAATGACTGTTCTCTTCCTAGCACATTCCACGCAACCCTCACACAGATTTATGGGGACAGATGGAGGCTCTTGTATAGGGGCAGCCTGAGGCAATCCAGGCTCCTCGGTGAAGTCAGAAGACCAGCAAGACACTAAGGACATATGCTTCATACAGCAAGCAAGCAGAGGTCATACAACAGGAGAGAAAACAAAAAGAATAGTGTTGAATGAAAGGCCAGCATCAGAACACAACACTACCACATTATTTACAGAGTGAAATATATGGATACCAATCAGTTTTCACAAAAGGCCATACATTATATGCATTTCTGTCTGTTATGGGAAAGAGGGAGTAAGAGAATAGGTTTGAAAGTAGATTAAAGAAAACACGCACACACACACACACACACACACACACACACACACACACGCACGCACACACACACACAAACACGCACG